GGCGCTGTCTGTCCCGCCACCCGTCTGCGGCGCACGCGTCTCCCTTGGACCACCCACCACGCCCTCGCTTTCCCGTGGCCGCTCATCCTGCGGCGCGTGACTGAGGGTCCCTGTCTGGCTTCAGGTTGCAGAACTGGCCAATCCGGTGACCTGGCTGGACGCGGGAGCGCAGGTCTTCTACTCCTTCTCTCTGGCCTTCGGGGGCCTCATCTCCTTCTCCAGCTACAACTCGGTCCAGTGAGTGTGGGTGGGTCTGGCCGGCAGAAGGCTCCGTGCTGGGAGGCGGCAGTGTGGGGTCTGGGCGGCTCTCACCGCCCAGGACCCTGACGCTGGCCTCCCCGGGGCCTCCCATGCGCCCCTGTGGGCGACAGTGAGCCCTGGTGTTCCCACACGCCCTCCCTGGTAGCCCTTCGGCATCCAGGACCCCAGGTGCCCATGCCCACAGCTACCCAGACCAGCGCCCACTCAGAGGGGCCCCCGGGGGCCTTCGGAGGAACGCAGCTGGTGTCCGTTCACCGCCACCACCATTTATGGGGCGCCTACTGCGTGCCCTGCCTGGCGCTCCAGGGTCGGGCCTCCTGCGGTCTGTGGGACCAGCAGGACAGCGGGCCCTGGGGGGGCGTGAGGCCAGGCGGAGTCTCTCGTCAGGCTGGGCACGGTCCAAGTGCATCGGGAGCAGACTCGACTGGGGTAGGGAGGAGGGGGAGGGTGGATGCCCCATGGGCTGCTGGCCATGGGGGGACAGTTTGAGAGGGCGGGGCTGGGCAGGGCGGTGGCGAGGTCTCCGGGACACTCCAGCAGACTGGACAAGAGGGAGCGGGACGAGCTTTTATGGAAGCTTCACTCTGGCTGGTCCCGCCCCGTGCCCCGCCCCTTCAAAGTGCAGCTGCAGTGGTTTGCGGGCAGCCTTTGCCACGGTCTAATTATGGAATATGGTCGGCACCGGGAGAAGCCCGCCGCTGGCAGTCACGGCCCCGCCCCCGGCCCTGGCAACAGGGATCTGCCTTCTCTCCGGGGACCTGCCTTGTCTGCACAGGTCACAGACACGGCCCCTGCAGGACATCCGTGGTGTCTGGCTTCTCTCACTGAGCAGTGTCCTCGAGGCTCGCCCTTGTTGGTCACGTGTCAGAAGCCAGTGCCATCCGGGGCATGGGTGGGGCACGTCCTGTTAGCCGCCCCTCTGCTGTCGGGTGCCGGGTCCCTTCCACTCTTTGGCCGTTGGGGTCCGCGCCTCCGCGAACGCGTGGGTGCAGGTGTTGGTGTGACACGTGTCCCAGCCTCCTGGCCGTACAGCGGGGAGTGGAAGGGCTCCGGGTGCGATCTGCTGGGAGCCACCAGCCCGTTTCCGCGGCCGCAGCCCCGTGCACAACCCCCGGCCGAGTGGCGGCAGCGTCTTATGCTCTCGCCACCGCTGGTTACTGTCTTCGGCCATCCTGGTGGTGGGCTGCGGTGTCTCACTGGTTTGCATTTCCCCGGGGGCTCATGGACGAGGTCGGCTTCTGCTGAGAGCATCTGGAGGTGCTAGCATCAGCAGTGGGGGGCAGAGCTGCTGGGTGGGGCTGGGGAGGTCAGCGGTTGAGCTCTGCACATGCTGAGCTGAGGCGGCCTTCAGGTTCCAGGTGGCGGTGGGGAGCCCTCAGCTGAGAGGAGACAGGGCCCCAGGGGCCAGGAGGGGGGACAGCGTGGACTGGGGAGGGGCGTGGGCGAGTAGGGGGCCTGGACCAAGCCGCCTCGGAGCCTTCGGGCTGGGACCATGAGGCCCTGGCCATTCCTGCCTGTGCGAGGACGAGGGCTCGGGCTCCCTGAGGACGCGCTCACTGGGCCCAGAGCAGCTGCTGGCCAAGGAGGAATCTGCATACAGGTGTTTCCCACCTCAGTGCTGGGGGGTGAAGGCTGCTCCAGGGACTCTGGGGCTTCTCTGGCTCCAGGCTGCAGCACAGGTGGCTGGGATGTGGTGAGAGGGGACACAGCCCTGTGGTGGCCCTTGCTGGGCACTAGTGGGGGAAGGGTGGGTGGGTGCACCGCGGCCCCTCCCCCGCCGCACCCAGCGCCGCAGGCTCAGGCTGGGCTCCTTCCCCGTGCCATGCGGCCAGGTGAGTGGACACCGAGCCCCCGGCCCGCGGTGACCCAGCCGCCCTCGTCCACAGCAACAACTGCGAGATGGACGCGGTGATCGTGTCCATCATCAACGGCTTCACGTCCGTGTACGCAGCCACTGTGGTCTACTCCATCATCGGCTTCCGTGCCACCGAGCGCTTCGACGACTGCTTCAGAGAGTGAGTGCCCCTCCAGGCCCACGCCGCCTCCAGGGAGCCCGCCGGGCCTGCCCCGCCCAGGGCATCCGCCTTGCTCTCTTCCCAGGAACATCCTGACGCTCATCAACGGGTTCGACCTGCCTGAGGGAAATGTCACCCAGGAGAACTTTGAGGCGGTACAGAAGTGGTGCAATGCCACCGACCCCGTGGCCTACGCCCAGCTGAGCTTCCAGACCTGCGACATGAACTCCTTGCTGTCCGAGGTGGGCCCCTGCGGGCGGCGCAGCCGGAGGGAAGGACGCCCCCAGGGCACACTGAGCTCCCCGGGGACCCAGCTCCCTGAGCCTGTCCCCAACCCCACGTGCCTGCCCACCTCTGACCCTCCTGCCCCGCCGGGTCCTGGGTGCCTGGTCAGGGGCCCCAGCGTCTGTCCGGCCACGAAGCCCCATGTTCCACACCCTGTGGGGCCGAGGCAGGGACGGCGGCCACCAGCCTGGCCTTCTCCAAGGCCACATGTCACACAACGGAAACTCCCCTGGTCTGCCGTGCACATAAGCCCTTCCATAAAAAGCCGGCGTCGTCGTAACTGCTCTTTTGAGACGACCGGGGACCTGGCGGCACATTTTATTCCAGGCTGGCGGGCGTCCGTCAGCCGCCCCGGTGCCGAGGTCACCGTCGGCTGAGGCGTGGATGCTTTTCAGCACCAGTCCTCACGATTAGCGGCGCCTACGTACGGTGGAGCTTGACGGACCAACGTTTACTCGTTTTAACTTCGCATTTTTCTTGTTTGGAGCCACTCAGTAGTGGGGCATGTCGAGCATTTTCAGGGCCTCGCGCGGTGGCGAGCAGCTGGATTTCCCAAGCGCCGCGTGGCCAGCCCCTCCCTCCTCCACGCGGCTGGCTGCTCGTATGTGGCCCCGCTGTTCACCCCCTTCGTTTCCGAGCCCCCACGGCCCTCCAGAGTGGACGGGGTGGACACGCGTGAGTGCCGTGACGCCGCCTCAGGGCCCCGGACTGCTGCCGGACGACACGACCGCGGGACATAACTCAGCAATTAAGAACAGTCAGGCCTGACAGACCAGGGCTGCCTGTTTCCCGAAGCAGGCGGACAGTGACTGCGGCCCGGGGCCCGGGGCCGCGTGTGCCGCGCGTGGCTGACGCGTGTGCTTGCCGTGCAGGGTGTGGAGGGCACGGGGCTGGCCTTCATCGTCTTCACAGAGGCCATCACCAAGATGCCGCTGTCCCCGCTGTGGGCTGTGCTCTTCTTCGTCATGCTCTTCTGCCTGGGGCTCTCGTCCATGTTTGGGAACATGGAGGGCGTGGTCGTACCCTTGCAGGACCTCAAAGTCGTCCCCAAGAAGTGTCCCAAGGAGTTGTGCACAGGTACACAGGCCAGCAGGCGGGCGGCGGGTGGCGGAGCCAGGCTGTGGGGCCAGGCGGGCAGCGGGGCCAGGCCCAGCCACAGGCAGGAGCTCTGCCTGCAGCGGCCCCTCTGCCCACAGGCCTCCTCTGCTTGGGGATGTACCTCGTGGCCTTCATCTTCACGCTGAACTCCGGCCAGTACTGGCTGTCCCTCCTCGACAGCTACGCCGGCTCTATCCCCCTGCTCGTCACTGCCTTCTTCGAGATGTTCTCTGTGGTCTACGTGTACGGCATGGACAGGTAGGGGGGCCGGCACGCGCCAGCCCCAACAGCCACGGGCACCTTCCGCCCCGGGATTCACCAGCCAGGTGTTTTATAAGGACTGGGGGTCCGTGGCAGGGATGCCCCATGGTTGGGGCGCTCCAGACCTTTCTGGGGGAGAGGGCTCTGTAGCCAGACAGACTCGGGCAAGGACAGGGGCTGTGTGGCCCTTTCAGCTGTCCCTGTGGCCAAACACACAGGGCGTCCCCCCATTATAGATGGGGGATCGGGAACATGGCACAGACCTCAGGAGCCAGACTCGCCACGACTTCAGATACTCGCTGGTGTCTCTTAGTGTAAGTCGTGCACGCACCCTCCAGGGGTGCCCGCTTTGAGAAGCCTGGTCCGTGTCACCAACACACGCGTGTGCAAGGGCACACGTGCAGGGTGCTTGTCTCCGCCACGCGATGCGAACAGCCGAGGTGGGAGCCAGCGGGAGACTGGAGCACCCAGCAGATGTTGCCACGTGGCTGCTGCTGGTGTGAAGCAGGCGTGACGGCCCCAGTGATTGCACACCCATCCGTGAATGACCCAAGGACACTTCAAAGCCAGACACTTGCTGCGTAGGTTGCCGTGCAGCGCTGACCCAGAGAGGCCACATGAGCGGGAGGCAGAGAGCCGGGAGTGGCCCCAAGCAGACCTGTCACCATGCTCGCAGGCCCTGCTGGGCTGAAGGCCTGGGCACCTCTGCTTTTCCAGGAGTGCCCTCCGGGCTCCCCGGTCGTCTTGGGCAGCTCACGGTTTGCATGCTGCCCCCGCTGTTCTGACTTCTGCAGACAGCAGACTCGTTTGTGCAGAAGAGAGTTCGGCACAGGGTGGGCGGGAGATGGCGGGGCCGCTGCCCGCTTTGCCTGCCAGATGCACGACCCCTGTTGGCATCAGCCTGCCCAGGGTGTGAGTTCACAGGTCCGAGCGGTGAGCCGTGGCTCCAGAGGGGCTTCTGGTGTGCCATGCGCCTTCCTAGGAGGGCGTGTCTTTGCCTAGAAGAACGCCGGAACCACGATGGGGGAGAGGCCCGGCGAGGCAGCTCAGGACGCCTGCAAAGGCTGGAATGCAAGGCCGGCGATGTCTCCCGGGTGACAGCTCCCTCCGGCCTCTGCTTCCAGGTTTAACAGAGACATCGAGTTTATGATCGGCCACAAGCCCAACATCTTCTGGCAAGTCACGTGGAGAGTGGTCAGCCCCTTGCTCATGCTGGTCATCTTCCTGTTCTTCTTAGTGGTCGAGGTCAACGAGGAGTTAACATACAGCGTCTGGGACCCTGCCTATGTGAGCGCACAGGCCTCCAGGCAGGGGGCCGGGGTCACGTTCCCTGTGGGCAGGTGGGGGACAGGTGACCCTGGGTGTCTCTCCCCTCCCCTACGTGGGCCAGAGGGTGGGGATCCCAGGGAGAAGAGGCATCGCGCCCCCTGAAGGAGACCCCGCTGCTGCCTCTGTCTGCTCCACCGGTGGCCGCTCTGTCTCCAGGAGGGATTTCCCAAATCTGAGAAGGTCCCGTATCCAGACTGGGTGTACGGCGTGGTGGTCATCGTGGCCGGCGTGCCCTGCCTCACCATCCCCGGCTTCATCCTCTACAAGCTCATCAGGAACCGCTGTCAGAGGCCAGAGAACGAGCAGGGGCTGGTCAGCTCGCTGTCCATCGCCTCTGTGAATGGGGACCTAAAGTACTGAGCGGCCAGCCCACACTGCACGTGCTCATGTGCACACGCACGTGTGGGTGTGCACACGGGCGAGACTGCACACGTGTGGGTTACACACAGGAGCATATTGTGTGAGCATGTGCACGTGTGTACATGCGTTCACATATAAGTGTACGTTATACATAGGTGTGTCATGTGTTTGGGCACACACGAGCATATGCATGCATGTACATGCTTACACACGTGTACTTGCTTACACGCATGTGTGTACATACATGCGAGTGCACACGTGCATGTATACATGTGTGCAATTATGTGTATTTATGAATGCGTGAGTATATGTGTGAGCACGTGCTATGTGGTATACGCACGCATGTAAGCATGTGAGCGTGAGCACGTGTCTACTGTGCAGTCTGTGTACATGTGTAGACAGACATGCATGCACAGCCACGTGCATGCACGTGTGTGTGCAGGTACATGTGCGTGTTGCCCTGCAGTGCACACATCTGCCACGTGGGGCCCAGCTGCCCTGTGGCCTCCCTTGTCATGGAGATGCTGGGCACGTGCTCAGGTCCTGCCACAGCTCCCGGGGGGGTCGGAGCTGCAGTGGGAACTGCGCCTGTGGGGGTCGGGGCAAATCGGGACAGTCTCGCTGCCCCCAGCCCTTCCCCTTGACCTAGGAACTCCTGCAGTAATGGGGACACTCGTACCCTCTGACGAGGGCCCCATCTAGAACAGGCTGTGGGCCCCTAGGCTGGGGAGCTGGACGGGACCCGGCCCAGAGTTCCCGAGTGCCGGTCGGCAGTGTTCCAGCTCAGTGAATGCTAAGCCATTTAATCATTGCTTCTGGCCGCCATGGATAGGTGACAGTTAAATAAAACTCAACTTGACACAATTTAAGGCAGAAACGCCTTGTGCATTTTTTTAAGAGGACATCGACTGTGTGAATTTTTAGCCAGATATTGGAAAAGACGGATTACAGGGTAACTCAGGCTTGGTCTCTGAGGTCGAGGATGGTCCGTGAACCCTGAGCCACGTCAGGGCTGTGACGGGCGGGGAGGCCGCCTGCTCGGGCCCACTCGGTGGCGGCCGGCGTCAGCTTTTTCCCCGTCACGGGACAGGCACTTGCGGTGCTTATCCCAACAAACTGGCCACCTCCGCTTTCCGGGGGAGCATCTCGCAGCTTGAGTTAAACTGGACTCCGGGAATTCTCTGGGCGGAGGCGAGGTCCCTGCTCCATGTTCCGTCCCTATGGCGCCTCCAGCCCGGAGCCCGGCTGAGAACCCCCCTAGGCCCTGGCCCTTCCCCTGGACGCTGTGATCCATGGAAGCCCTGGCGGCAGAGGAGGGGGCTGTCCCCCGGTGAGGGGGGCGAGGACGGGTGGGGGAGGCTGTGCCCCCTCCCGGCCGCCCCTCCCCGCTCCCCTTCAGTCTCATCGTCTTTGATTCTCCCCTTTGTCACCCTTTGCTCTCAACCAAAGACAATCTCTCCAACCGCGTCCACGGCCCACGGACTTGGGGTCATGGCTGCACACGAGACACAGTGTCCGGGCCTGTCCTGGTGGATGAGTCTGCCGTGGGGGCAGGGTCCACGTGCCCAGCTGAGTCCGCTCCGTGTCAGCTTGTCACCCCTTCCTCGAGGGGAACTGTCACATGCCTCCAACCTGGCGGAGCCACCCTCCCTGTGTGCAGCAGGTGTCACCTTGTGCAGCCCCTTGCCCGAGAGTGACCGTGGATACTGAGGGGGGGCAAAGCTGCCGGGCCGAGAGGAGGAAGCCCCCCCTGTGACTGCAAAGGTCACCACTGTGTGATCCCATCTACACGACATTCTTGAAATGACAACTGGACACTGGACCTTGTCAGGAGCCGAGGGGAGGGGGTAGGGAGGATGGGAGGTGGGCGTGGCCATGAAAGGGGCAGGGGGACCCTGTGGCGATGGGCGTGTCCCACATTGACCCGTGGACGTCGACATCCCACGCTGACATTGACGAGATGTTTGCAGGCTGCTGCTGCCAGGGGACCAGGCTCATGGGCTCTCTGCAGCGTGTCTTAGACGGGACGTGCAGGTCAGCGACCATCTCACACACAAACAGCTAACCGCGCCCCGGTCTGGGGCCCCCGAGCGTCCCCGCGGGGACAGAGGCCCTCGCTGGGAACGGTCCGTTGGCGGCGGCACACACAGGCCTTCAGCAGTGGCAGCGATGCGGGCAGGGCCGGGCAGTCAGGGGGCCCGGACAAGTTACCGATTAACCGGCTCTGTGGTTTTCCTTTAAATAACAGGGGTACGGCTGGAGGGGGCACAGCAGAGGTTCTGGAGGGCTCCACGGGGCCGGGACTGGGCATGGCGAGCGCCCCGGGACCAGCCTCACTGGGGGTCGACAGTGGGGACGGGAGGCCCAGGTGGGACAACAAGCTGCAGTACCTGCTGAGCTGCGTGGGGTTTGCCGTGGGCCTGGGCAATATCTGGAGGTTCCCGTACTTGTGCCAGAGCCACGGTGGAGGTGAGGCTGCGCGGGGGGCGGGGGGCAGGCACACCCCAGACCCGGGAGTTAGTGACACACGTGATGCAGGGAGAAGCCTGCCACCCGGGGTCTGGTCTGAGGCACCCAGCCCTGGGGGCCCGGGGAGCCCTCCGCACGCCACCTTGCCTGGTGCCGCTGCATGCATGGACTCATCAGTGTCGCCCGCGGGCCCCTGGCTGTCGGGAGCTCTGGCCTGGCCCACCGGCGCCCCTAGGACGGCGGGCACCCACCGGAGGCTGCGGGCGGGGTGGTCTGTCGACGGTCAGAAGGAGCTCAGCTTCTCCGCCCACGGGCCAGCATCTCCACGTGGTGCGAATGTGCGTGTCGCCTTCCACTCTCGGTGCTGGGGACGCGAGGGCACCCACACCAGCCCCCCATGGCAGCCAACGTGGAATGTCACCCGATGCTGTCCCCAGACGGGATGGCAGAGGACTTCCTAGGCCGGGCTCGTCCTTTTCTGCTGTCCCCCCGTCTAGGGGCCGTCCTGGGCTCAGTGCCGGGTCAACTCGCCTTCAAGGCTCCCTCGTGAGACCGGGAGGGTCCCCAAGTCCTCACAGGGACACCTGGCTCCACGGGTGTCTGGTTGGGAGCGGCAGTGTCTCCCCCGGGAAGCAGGGGGCAAGTGCGTGTGCTGTGTGGTCCCTAGTGGTGGCCTCAGCCTTCCCCTTCCCAAGGACATGCAGACAGCCCTCCCGGCCGCAGCAGGTAGACAGAGGACAGGCCATGCTGGGGAAACAGGCGGAGGACAGAGCAGGGCCTGACTGGCTGGGAGAGCCCGTCGCTGCTGCCCGAGAGGTGTCGGGGTCCCTGGGCGTGGGGCAGGGCGCACGGCCTCGGGCCTCCTGGTGGCGAGACCCCTGAGGGCCGCTGGAGACGCTCACACCGCCCCTACGTGCCGCCTCCCTCAGCTGCCCTGAGCGTGGAGGTGAGCGCGGTGCGGAGCAGGACCGGGGCCAGGATGGACGTGCGCAGTCACCGGCCTCTGCACAGGTCCCACTCAGTGGGGCGGGAACTGGCCCGAATCCTCGTCACTACATGGGCCAAGGCTACCTCATTTGGCGCCAGGGGGCTGGGCCCTGTCACCACAAGGGCCAAGGGCAGTCCCTGTGCCCCCTGAGCCCGTGGGCTTCGGCAGAGTCCGTGATCTGAAACGCTTCCTGAGGCCCTCCTTGCAGATGCGAGACACTCATTCAAGTGTCACGATACGTTTCGTTTGTCTCGCACGCTTCCGATGAACGTGTCCCCACACGCGCGGGCCCTCCGGCCCCCGGCCGCCACTGCTTGTTTGGGTACGAGATGTATTGGTGAGCAGGTCATGCACCCCGTTTTTAATTTGTACAAGCTCATCATACTGAAGGTGGCTAGTGTTTTCTCTCCTGTTGGGGATTATTCAGTTTGTAAGTCTCTGCGAATGTGAGCCTCAGGCGACACTGTGACCGTGTGGAGCCAACATGCCGCGGTCACCACTTCCTGCTCTGTGGGGATGGCCACAAGCGGCTGCTGGGGACTCCGTCCTCCCGACTGCACGAGAATGTCCGCGGGCCCGGAGACGTGGAGGGCCAGCCTTGTCCTGCGGGCCTTGTAGGCGGAGGCTTCGGGTCCCACTCGTGCTGGGTGCTGGGTCTGTGGGCTCCGGGAGAGGCCAGGGCCCGGCTCACAGCCCCCAGTAGCCGGCACGGAGCGTGGCTCTGTCCTTCCTCCGCCAGCCGCAGGGAAGATGGGCGCCGCTGCCGAGCTCCGCCTGCTCCTCCTGGGGCCCTCAGCCCGCTGTGCAGTGGGGCCACCTCCTGTGCCCACAGTGGGGTGCGGAGGGAATGCTGCAGGCCAGGGACCGAGAGAGGGTCCTGGCCCAACTCAGGGCGACGCTGGGGAGACCTGGTGAGATGTCGGCCTTCTCCAGCATCCCGGCGGTCAGGACCAGCTCCCCGGCGCCAGTCACAGGGGCTCAGTGGGAAGGGAGTGGCCGCTTGTTGATGAAGCTGCCCCCGAAGCACCAAGTGATTCCGAACAGCGGCAACAGGGCCCCGGCGTGGGGGCCTGGCCCTCGCAGCCGCGAGCCTTCTGTCCCCGCCTCGCTGACGGCCGCCTGCTTGCAGGGGCCTTCCTCATCCCCTACCTCATGGCCTTGGCCTTCGAGGGGATCCCGCTGTTCCACATCGAGCTCGCCATCGGCCAGCGGCTGCGCAGAGGCAGCGTCGGGGTGTGGATGGCCATCTCGCCCTACCTGGGCGGAGTTGGTAGGTGCCTGCTGGGGCCCCCGCGGGCAGCTGCTCGAGGAGGCTGGGCTGGGGGCTGCAGACGAAGGAGGCGGCCCAACGCAGGTGTGCAAGGGGACCTGGGCAGCAGCGTCCCTGCCACACTCTGAGGAGGCCTTGCTCGTTTCCCTGAGGAAGGGCTTAGGTGCGGGGTGCTGCGTGGGGTGAGCCCAGGGTGCAGGAGGCAGAGGCAGCCCTGTCCCACGTCCAGGGAGCTCACTGGCCAGGGGGTGGCAGGGACAGAGGACGATAAGATGAGGCAGCGCCTGCCAGGAGGTGTGGCTGACCGGGTGGTGGGCGATGGTGGGGTGATGGGTGGTGGGCGATGGTGGGGATGGGTGGTTTTTTTGGCGCAGTGGGCGGTGGGGGGCGGCGGCTCTGGCGCAGGCCGCGTCAGCACGGCAGTAACCACGGGGCCTGTCACGTGCCGCAGGGCTGGGCTGCCTGTCCGTGTCCTTCCTGGTCAGCCTCTACTACAACACCGTGCTGGCCTGGGTGCTCTGGTACCTGCTCAACTCCTTCCAGCACCCGCTGCCCTGGAGCGTCTGCCCGCCCAACGACAACCGCACAGGTGACGCCGAGGCCGGCCAGGCCGGCGCTCTGCCCCAACTCGAGCCCCCAGTCACCCTTAAATCACACGTTCAAAGTCCAGTCCCTTCGCCCCATGTGTCTGTTCACAGCTGCGCCTGGGGCCCAGGGACAGACAGCCTGCTGTTTCCAGCACAGCTCGTGTGTGGGGGGGGCCATGGGCAGTGGGGAAGGGGTTTTGCAGAAAGGGAGCAGTGGGGGTGTGTGGGGGAGGGGGTGCACGGGGGATGTGGTGCCTGGGGGATGGGGT